ATATCCTGCACCAGCCTCACATACTTCTCTGACCGTATACTTGTTCCCTTTATAAAAACCATGGTTACAGTTTCTCTCTCCATCTCCTTTTATCTTCCATTTATTCATTTTTTAAAAATAAAATACTGAAGTACAAACCTGGATCACCAAACCTCTAACACCAAACCTTTTCCCCAGTTTTTAATTTCCCAAAGCAGCATCTTCACAGAAAACACTTAGAGCAAGATCAACGTCACCTCAAACAATCTGTGGCATAAATATTTCACATACAGATGCTGTCTTCCCACTCAGGAGCAAATACTGTTGTTTAATTGTCTTTCTCAAGATAAAAACAAAATGTCACACACACACAATACTTATTATGTTAGTGTTCCCTGCGCGTCTAAGCATCTTGGCACTGAAACATCTGCACAAAGAGCAGCTAAAAGAGAAAAATAGATAAATCTGCCACAGTGCAGCTAGTAAAAGAGTAATTTGGGTGGTCCTGAGGTTGGCACAAACAGACTGAAGTGGCCCCCTGGCAGCAGAGACTTTTTCCGTAACAGCATTTAGTGGGCGGTGCAGCTTGATGCTGCAGTGATAAGTGCTCCACAGATAAAGATATAAATTTTGTAAGCCTTTGTACCTTGAAAAAGTTTCAAGGTACAAATATAATTTTACAACCTCACAAAGGGAAGATTACGGACACAAACATCTTTTTAAATCCCATCACAGGTGCACCTGAACTCAATATTTTTGAGCAGCTCCATCAAGTGTCCACAGAAGACCTAAACCCAAGCTGCCTCTCCCACCACAGACACACTTCATGGGTCACTGAACGGGTGGAGACTGTGCGCTTTTGGATAGTTAGCCAATGGACAGAAATAACCTCCTGGGTTGGGCTCTTCTGCGTTCCATGACCACTGACGACTGCATAGTTTACACACCGGGAAGCAACATGTTGCAGATACCTAAGAGGATATGTTTCAGGTTTAGATATATTTATAAGGAACACTACTTTGCAACCCACTATTCTTGTGAGTTTGAGCAGAGACAGGTATCAGCTTGAGGTATCAGGGATACAGTTTATTGTTGGGTATTCAGACCACGGCAAGAGGAGGGGGAACATGCTGTTTCAGGTGCTGGTGACACCATCAAATGATTCCTGAAGAAGAGCAAATGTACTGATCAGAGTTTTGGCTCATCAGATCTGCTGTGTAGTTTCATAAGGCATTTGTATTTTAATGCACAGAGAGCAGCAGGACTCCTTTTGTATTGGATATCTGGTAGAACAATGACAGTTAAATCAATTCAGGATGGTTTAAGCAGAGCTCATTGGATCCTGTGACTTACAGGTGTGTTGTTCAAGTGCAACATAACATTAAAATCAGTCAGCAGATGTTGAGCTCAGCTGTGTGAGAAAACTGTGTGAGTTTAGTGTTTTGGTGCTATGAATAATCTTCAAAGAAATTTGGCATAGCTGTTTTGAAACAATTTTTGAAAGGACCCACAACAGCAAATTGAGGGGCTAATATTATATAATAATATAATAATGTAAATTTTACTTCATTACAATTTCAGTTTCCAGTATATTGAAAACCCTCCAATTTAAAAATGACTGTTTTGTGGAGTTCATAAAAAGTTGTTCTTCGAAGACATGTAGTATTCACACGTCTGTATATTGTATATGTATATTAAGTTAAAAACATTGTAATTAATTTGAAAATACAGGGATCATCTTACCGCACACAACACTTTCACTGCTGGTGTTTGTAGTGTATTTGAACTAACAACCACAAACCTACTCAGTAGGTATTTATCAAACAGCACGTATCAGCCTGGTCTGCAGTCAGCAGAGACTGGGTGTGTTCGAGTCTCACATTTAAACCCATAATCAGATCCACTGGAGCTGCTGGACCCTCTTAGTCTGAAATGAGTGTTTTTGCTCTGGACTCTGATTCACTTCAAAACATGAAAACAAAAACAACTACAACAACATAGCATTAAATACACAGGCTGTAAAAAGCACCGATACTAGGATTTCCTTTTATTTCATAGTAAAGTTCAGTATTCCCATCATATAGGAGCAGCACTAGGTTATCCCCCTTTGGTAAACTTTGATTTCATTGGTCATGAGACTTTTTAGTTAAGACTTTTTATCAGAAACAAATTTTAAAACAGAATCCTGAAATTGAATCTCACAGATCGGACAAGGCTCAAAACTGCACCAACACTGCCCCCCAGTGTTAGAAATCTGATACTGCAGCATCACAAATGTGAATCTTCAGGTAGAGCTGAACTCGTAGCATGGTTTTTATGCTTTTAAATGGCAGGTAGTGAGGCTTTGCTGTGTGCTTTAGCATTTCATTTGTACGTAGACATGTCTAGAAGTTCCTGTTACTAAGTTTAGATTACTTAAGAACACGTGGGCTGTTTGAGCAAGCAATAAAATGTCGTGCTTCTCTTTTTTATTGCTTGCCTAAGCTAATTTATTTGGCCCCGAATCTATGTGTTTTTACAAACTAGGGGTTTTCCAACATATTTGATGAGTTTACAACCCACGCAATTAATTCAGTTTGATATTTCTAGCACTGTAAACAATGTCTCCAATCATAATTAACACATCATAGGGGGATTCAATTTATTTCAAATGGTCAAATTGTGATCAATGTGTGAAAAAACTATTTTGTACTGGAGTAATTCAAATAATGACACGTGGTATGAAAGAAGTTTTTATTTCCCTTAGATGCACTGCAGACTTTAGCTTTTAATTGCTTATTTCAAAGCAGTCCAGAGAGGATTTTTAAATGATTTTCTTGTTTACAGGCACAACAAACCTGGTTCAGCATCAATCATTTTAAATTCCAGAAAATTACAAAAGCACTCAAACTCCCTGAGATGAACTGGGATGAAAACTCCCACCGAGGCTGAAGCTGTGATTCACTGAGTTGATCCCTTTACATGAGTCACTGCAGGAGACAGCAGAAAACATGACGTTCACCACTGACCTGACGCCAATGCTGAAACAGCGCCCCCTACAGCTATTGGGAGTACATGATAGAAACCACATGATGAAAGTTAAACATTCATGTCTGACTCCTTTGCTCCGACACTGCTGGAAAACCTTTAACAGTAGATATGGTGTGCATTTGTGTGCATGTTTTTATCCCATCATAACGTTTTCCTGGTATATACAATATATGACAGTACAAAAAGCTGCTGATCATACAAACCTTTGCAGCTATGGGGAGGGATTCGCTGACTAAACAAACTTTACTCCTCTCACTTCAAGAAATACTAATATGCTGAATGAATTATTTATGTTATCAATCTATAACACAGACTCACTGCAGCTACCCCTCATTACTCAAGGCTGCAGTCTTTGAGGCGCTGAAGAAAAGAAAAACACTTCTGTATGCAGGCTGCGTCACAACAAAAAGACACAACCACCGGACCCATCACTGCATGACCAGTGTCTGCACAGACACGTGGACTGTAACCTAGAAGGAAACAAGACTGCAAACCGTCACCACACTCTGAGTGTTTACTGATCGAAATATATATTTACATTTAATCTATCAGGAAATCAGCAGCTGAGAAGATCAGGGACACCGCTACCTTCACCCACAGATTGTTGCAGGAGGTCCTGCTCACACTGACAAATATAAAGCGAGACGTGTTAACGTCGTTATCTGCAAATATCTACAAACTAATCCTGCACACCTTTGCCCATGCTGTGCATGTAAATGAACTCTAAAAATTCCTAAATACGTCCTGCAGTTGGCATATTTCACAGCTCACTGAGCTCAGCTGAATATTCCCAACTTCCATTGGCATTTTTCTGTAGTGCACAACAATATGGCCTCAAATTGGCATCTCTGTACCAGTTTAAGAATAAAGAAAAGCAACTTTTTGGTGCTATTTTTGGCAATCAAACTCTTGGGGTTTGTAAGTACTTCAGTATATTATAACATTGTGATACCAACCAAATGTAGTTGAAAGTTGAGCTTAACATATCCAGCCAGTATTAGCCAGTTTCATGTTTTTTGTATCCATGTGAATGCTGGTGTGAAAACTTACAGACCATAAGGCAGATAAAGATGCTTGGATAAAATCGAGCTAACAGATCAGCTTCAACGGGCCTAAAATACAGAGCACATGTTGGACTCTCTTTAAAAAACTGTCTGTATTCTCTCTTTTTTCTGATGAAATAAGAGTGCGGCATTAAACCTCAGCAGTCTAGCAAACACTCTGCTAAAAGGTTGCCTGTTGCTGATTTTAAGCTCAAAGGTTTCCACATTACAGCTGATCAATTTTCATACATTTCGCACTTCACTACTAAAATCAAAGTGCGCTGTGTCGAAGTCCGAAACAATGACTTTGTGTGTCTGTAATGCTGTTAAAAGTAACAGAAGTCTTTGAGGTTTGAGTGCTGGGTGAGAGGCGTGCTGTAGCCCGAGTTCCAGTCCCTCTCAAAGACAGCCTTCAGCTGTGATTGGACAGTTGACTCAACAGACTGTGACGCCGTCTGGTTGACAACCAATGCTGAGCCAGCCGTGTTCACAAAGTAGTCTCCGGACCAGTTGGATGTACCTGAAAACAGAACGCCACAGATTATATTTAAGCACATTATCTTTTTTTCTGAATGACTGATTGGACAGATGAAAATAAAGTATGTGTGACTAATGACATGCTTAGAAAAGCAGCCATCGGCTTGGCTTTTAACACCACCAACAAGTATTCAATTTCAGTATCATGATGTATTTTCTCATCTTGATGAAAATCACATTTTTCTGTTTTTTGGGGGATTCATTGAAACTGTAAGATAGGCCATT